TGCTAGACAAGCAAGGTGGGGAGGGAGACAACAAGATTTGTTATGTATCCCAAATACCTGTGAATCACACTAGATAAACACTAGATGTGTGTATTTGTATGTATTTAGCGTGACTCACATATATCTTAGTGCTAGATTAACAGGAAAGTGGCGAACGAGATGGGAGGGAAGTATGAAACGAGCAAGGTTTATTATATATCGAGATACATGTAAATCCATTTGAATACAGTGTATCTAGAACAAATTACACTTAACTTTGACCGAAATTATCTCAAGATACATATATCTAGATGTATCTGAACGTATACATAATATTACAATATAGAGTGTATCTAAGTAATTCGCTCATAAACTAATCAAATTTACTAAAGTTTCTCCCTTTTTAGTCTCAAAATGTATTCCAATAAGTAACTAACCGATTAATAAAGTGAGGTCAAGCCCAACATTCTTTGCACACTAGGGATGATTTGTTACTCTTATAACATGTCAAAAAATAAATTTAAATTTAAACACTCATAAAATTACATATACTCCGTAACTCGCTCCGTCTCACATTAGTTTTTAAAAAACTCACTTCATTGCCATATATGTCCCGCCTCGCATGTGCCCACACCATTGCCATATATATATATATACACATATATATATATACAGGAAACAACACATATTTATCCAAATGGACGCAATTCAATATATTTATCCCGATTGAATTCACAACCTAAACTATTTACTTGACTGTCCCCTTTGTTTTATTCATTTAAACCATTATTGATAGCCTGACACTTGACAATATCAAACAATAATATTTGAGTAATATTTTCACTATAACATTGTCTCTTCCTCCTCGAAGCCATCGGAGTATTCTAATGGTGTCACAGTGTGACTAAATAATGTTCTCATTGAAGCATTAATTATTCCTCTTTAATACCATCAGAGGTTTGATCTTTATCCATTTTTTGGTATTCAATGGCTTAGATTTATGTTAGTTACCATAATCAATGCCTTCATTAAATAAAATTCTTAATCCATTTTTAGTTGTTTTTCTCTCCCCAATTTTTTCTACAAATTACTCATATGGAAAAAGAAACTAACCTCAACAATTCAAAATCATAATAAAAAAACAAAATATAAATCCTAATTGTATTCCATGGAGAAAATAATTTTTACATATTTTTAGGAGCACATCTTTTTACTTTAATGTTTAATTGCTACAATTAACTTTATTAATTTGATATAAATGATATGATAAGTAATATTTCTCCATTGTTAATTAATTTTCATTAACAATTAACAACCCGAAGTGTTTGAGTTATTACTTATTGCACGACATTCCCAAGCTAATTATCACTCTTTTTCAATAATCTACATTATTATGCACTACTTTTGAAAATTAGTGAAAATCGAATTAAAAAATTAACCTTCCAATATTAATTTTCCTTGAAAATGGTTAAAAAAAAACAAAAAAACCTCATACGTAGGTTTGCATTTTTGTTTTGTTTTCGACATTAAAAAATGGGGAACTTTCACGTATAGCCATTTAAAAATAACCTAATTATTCTCCATAACTATAGTTTGATAATTTCAATTCGTAGCTACATGTTATATGGAGGATAGAGGTGAGCGAGTCTGAGAGAGAGAGAGATGAGAGAAGTGCGAGAGGGGAAAAAAGTGAGAGAAAGGTGAATTGTATGTATATATATATATATATATATATCGGTTAGATAATTGTATATTGTATTTGTATATTGACAAGCGAGAGTTGGAGAGGGAGGAGAGAGGCGAGCGAGAGAGAGAGCAGAGTGGGAAGAGGTGAATTGGTATATGTATATAATTGTATATTATGCATTGCTTTTGTATATATGGCAAACAAGATTGGGAGGGAAGAAAGAGGCGAGCGAGACTAGAGAGGGAGAAGAGAGCCGAGCGAGAGAGGGCAGAGCGGGAAGAGGTGAATTATATATGTATATAATTGTATGTTATACACATGCATTTGGATATATGTATATATGTTAAATAATTGTATATTATACATATGTATTTGTATATTTTGGCGAATTATACATATACAAACGTGACTAATTATACAAACTCGAAGTCAGCCCACGTAATTAATGTATAATGTTAGTCGCGAATGGTAATTATAACAAATCATAGCTATGATGAGCAATTAAATAGTATAAATTTACTTTATTGCGTAATTTTTTCAAAAACAAATTGATCTCCAAAATTCGATTTTGTTTTAAAAAATTTATTAGTTTACCATCTTTTTTATTTAAGGTAGGTAATTGTACCATTCATTAGAATTAATTAGGATTATCAAGTCGGTATCTTAATTAACTTTTATTTAGTTTCCTAATGAATTCCAATTTTAATGTTACCTAATCTAATTATCTTTTTCATAATCTTATTAGAATTGTCGTATTAAATAAAAAAGTTTTTCCTCTTCTTTTTTTTTTCCTTATGTCTAAAGGACTCGGGTTTCCAAATTAATAAAATATCAAAATCTTTTTCAACCTAATATTAGGGTTACCTTATATAAAGGTCCTAATAGATGACAAATCATACTATAGAAAATTATTAGCTAGGGAGAAAAGTTCTATTATTCTATTCGATTTATTCGTGGCAAAGTATCAACAAAAAAATTCAAAGAAAACAACGTAACGTGTTGAAGGTCAAAAAAGATGAAGTTATTGCTGAACAATCAATATCTTTTTGTACGTCAATTCTATGAAGATCAAGAAAAAAATAAGCATAAAATAAATTGTGAAGAACGGTAAAAAATTCAATCCATCAACTAGTTGGCTTGACTACAAAAGGGAGAGCAAGAAAAAGAATTCAAAGGATCTTGATGAAATGGGTGACAGTTGGTACTCTGTACCACTTTCAGAATACGACATTCCAAATTCCTTTCCCGATAATTTTGATGAATTATTATGGGATAAAGTTGTCTTTAATTTTATGAATGACATTCCAAACTTGTATAAATAAATATTCGATTTTGGATTATCATTACTACAATTAATAAATTACTTTATATTATAATTTTCTTATTAGATATTTGTGTACCTCATCGATCAATTACGCCGGTCTCATACTGTGCTTGATATTATAAGTTGACACCAACCGCAGCAGATTTTGCTTCTTCCAACCGTATACTAATTGTTGAAAATTCATTAGAATATATAATTAAATATAAGCTTAAGCTTTGATTTGAAATGTGGTTGCATGGAAATAAACTTATCACAATCAGTGGCAGAGCAAAAAGTTTCACGAAGGATGTTCAAATATTATAATTAGAGTTGTGCTTTTTAAATTAAATTATGAAGAAAAAAAGGGTTTCAAATGTTGATAGCCACAAACCACTAGGCTCCAGTATAGTGTTACATTAAGGATGTCCAAAATATGTTATTTAACCCTTTAACTTATCATTTTACTAATATATACGTACAATATAATTTCCAATGAAGGGTGTCGAATATGTTGTAGCTCTACCCTTGATCACAATGTGTTTGATTGTTTAATTTGTCTAGGAAATGCAGTTGAAGGCAGAATTATTTAATCACTAGGCCACTAAAATTATTGCTTGGGATTCCATATTTTTAGGGCCCTATTTAAAAAAAAATACTTATATATATTATTAAAAAAATGATATGTATTACTTTTTTAAAAAACATGAAAAAAGTATATAAAAAGGAAAAAGGAAAAATAAACTCCCAATTATTATAAATGGTATGTTGATATCGTCCGTCATACTTCTGAGACATTAATGTCCCTACAAATTAAATTAGAGCATATATACCACCTACAATTTATTAAAACTTTGATTCATCTATACGTTTTCCGCATGATAAAAGGCTCATCTTTGAATGAATAAAAAATTTAAAAAAACTTTCGATTTATCAAACTTTTAACTCAACAAATCATATAATTAAGGTACACGTAAACTTATCTTGGAATAATCTTTGGTTGTCTATGTAGATCTTGTGTTTTATTTGATTTCTAATTACTTAAAAGGTAAATATTACTCTCTCAATCCACTTTTAATTGTCATGTTATGTTTTTTAAAAAGTTAATTTGACTAATTTTTAAAGTGAAAATTAGATTACATTAATTTGATATATTAAACAACAAAGTTAGATATTAAAAAACTATACGAAAAGTACTATAAATTGCAATTTTTTTTACATATCAATAAAATGAAAAAATACATCATAAAATATTAATCTAAATTTTTTATAGTTTAACTCTAAAAAATAAAACCATAATTAAAAATGTTAGTGAATTCTTATGTCATATTTTATTTTGTATAATTATCTCCATTTTATTACTCTTCTAAGTTCTATCTTTTGGTTCATATTAATATCTTTTCATATTTATAATTAGAAGTGAAGATGGAAACCAACAACTAATTATGCCTTTGATTTTTAAAAATAACAAATATTACAAATAATTTATTTTAAATCAAAATGACAAGTACTTAAAAATAAAAAAGACTTAAGAGTAGTAGACGTAAAAGAGTTACTAAATATAGGAAGTGACATCATTTATAAAGATATAAGAGTACAATACGTAAAGAAACTTGCAAACTGATTCTTGACTGACATTTAATGTCCTCTAATTTTAAATATGGACAAATATACGTTTAAATTTGTATAAAATTTAACAAATTAACACATTTTTTTTATTGGATATCCTAAATAAAATTTTGTGTTTGATGAATCGTTTTACGTGTATTATATCACGTAGAATGCATATGTCTATTTGTTTAATTTTATATAATTTTTTAAGTGCTTATTTGTTTATATATAAATTTGAAGAACATAAATATCAACTAAAATCAAATTAATTTGTAAAATAAATTAAAACTAAAAATAAGACAAATAAATTAAAATAAGAAATATACGGAGAGAGTATATTTTTTCAAATTAATGATGGTTTGAAAATATTGCAAGTGCCATTTTCAAACTTGACAGGGTTTTACTTTTTACATCCTAATCCGGAGGTCCCGGGTCTAGTCTATTCTACATATTTATCACCCTAAATTACTCCTCAACTACCCACAGTTCTTCTTTCTTCGCCATAGCTCAACCTTCACCTCTTCATCTGCTTCAAAACTCCATTTTCTAGAACCTTCTCGGCTCTCAAAATCGGAGTTCACTGCTAGCTTCATCTCCATTGTTGATACTAGAACAAGGTGACAAATCTAATCCTTTTGTATTTTCTCGTTTTGCTAATTCCGGAGAGAAGTTCTTTTCGTTTTTGTAAACTCATTGTACGGTCGTATATATATGAAGATGTAAGCTCAAAATGTTTAGTCTATGGAAGAACTTTGAGTTATCCTTGTGTAGATTTAAGTTTTGGCGCTTTCAGGGATTTGAATTTTGATCTGGGATAGTTAATTTATGAGTGTTGTTAGAGTGAGTAAATTTCTTAAATTATGGACTTGGACAATTCTGCCCCGGAAAGTTACCTTTTGGGTTGAGTTAAGTCCAGATACCATATTTTTACATTTATCATTTCAGAGAGTTACTTTCTTTGTTTAAAACAATAAAAATCGAGAAGGATGATGAATTTATAAGATAAAGTAACTATAGTTGAGTGCTATATGAGAAAGTAACAGTTTAATTTACTTGCCTTATTATCGGGTGTTGATTTTGCTAAATTAGAACTAGAGCATGTAGGCTTCAACTACCAAAACTGATTATTTAACCTATGCAATAAAGCCTGATGGTTAGCAAAGGTAAAAATTTTTAAAACTTTCCTTAACTGTAGTTGCAACGTTTCATGTAAATGAAAAAAGAGTTGTATAATTAATCCACTTTGGATACTTAACATTTTCTGAGAAGTAACATCTATATGTGGTCGGGTGAAAGTTTTGTCGCCTTCGGTGATTTGAATTTTGAATAGGAAAACATTTGTCTTTTTCTCTTTGTGAGTAGTTGACGTATGCGTTGATTTCTTAGATGGTCACTCAACTAATAATTATTATTTGTGTAAGTAACGAGCACAAAGCTTGTGTGCGTTTTGACGCTTCTTTTTCTTTAGGGATTTTAAAAATGTTGAGCATTCACTTAATTTGGTGTCTCTAGTACAAAATGGGTGAATAAAGTGTCAAAATTCATGTCTAGTTTAAAAGGCTGTTGGACTTGGTTTTTGATTTTGAGTGTGTGTGTGCGTATATATATATATATATATAAGAAACTGGCAATTGTTTTGAGTGTAACTTGTGTTCTCAGCTATTCGATGGGATTGAAGATTGATATAAAATTAGAAACTTCTATTTCCCCAGTGGAGCGTAATATTTTCTAAACTGTAACAAAAGCTGTTTTGATCTCTGAGGCGATTTGTTAGCTACTCTTAGATGTGTTTGCTTGTCCCTGTTTAAAAGAACCCATGAACTGTGTTGGCTATTCCTATATTTTCCTTTAATGGAATTAGTCACATTGGCACATTTACTGTGAGTTTTAGAGATTCAACTGGAGTTATATGATTCATTTTTCACCCTGGTAAGTCTCTTAAATGAGCGATTGATAACAGGATACGCTTAAAGATCTGAGGAAGTTTCACTTAGAAGTATATTTCGATTTCTGCCAAGGATGTGATGTTTGTACATTTGCATGAGAAAAAGGAGATCTGAGAGAAACTTTGTTCATTGGACCTTTCTCTTTCTAGATTCTTATGCAGATCTTATACCAAAATCATCCCCGTAACATGTTGTTATTGTACCGAAAGAGTTAAATCCCCATAGTACTTGTTAAAGTTTCCAGCTGCCCTTTGCTTTGGGAACTCTGTGCAGTTTAGCATCTGAGCTTTATATGCTGAACTGGTACATTATCACCATTAAAGTTAGAATTTACTAATAGAATGAACTTTGTCTACTTTATGCTGTGATACATTCAAATACCAGATATAATCAAATAACACTCGTACTCATACTCCTAGGAGGATGCTTAAAATGCTATAGCTTAAAAGGTGTTACACTTTAAGCATGTTCAAATCAAGTAAAAAACTGTTTTTTTTGTTTGGTTTAAATACATTGATATTTCGTCTGGATCTCCCTTTTCTCTTGAATTTTTTTTTTGTGAGATAATCACTTGTCCAGTTAAGGGAAAAGGATACAGAGACTCGCAGAGTTTGAGAATTCATTTCACAACCTATGGCAGAAAGAGCTTCTAGTTTTTTAGATTATGTTTACTTTATTTTTCTGTATTTTTCATTTAAAGAAACATAAAGGCAACTATGGACAACTGCATGATGCTCATATATTTTCATTCAGAGAAATGAAAACGAAGGACAATGGAAATGTTATTTGCAGCCTACTGGGTCTACCCAAGAAAAAACTTCAGGACTTGTGCAGGAAACACGGGTTATCTCCTTATAAGACAAAGCCCAATCTTGCGAGTTCTTTGGTCCCTTACATCAAGGTAAATATCGTAAACAATCTTATTTTTGTAGTGAATAAAAGTGAATATTTTGGGTGAGATCAAATATCTGATAAATGAAAATGAATTCATCAGGAAAGTGTATTCTTGATGTGATCATCTTGAAAATGCCTTATTCAAGTTTCTTCATTGTCTGTAACCTGCTTAGCCAACTTGGATTGACCACTCAAATACAAGTTCATCTTGCTGCAGGGAGCAGATGAGCTTTTAGTTAAAGAGATGAAGACAAAGGACAATGGAAATTCCATAAACAGGCTACCTAAGAAAGAGCTTCAAGATTTGTGCAGGAAACACGGTTTATCTCCTTATAAGACAAAGCCTAATCTTGTAAATTCTTTGATCACTTACGTCAAGGTATATGTTAAAGAGAACATTATTTTTTGGTGAATAAAAGTGAATATTTGGGTGAGAATGAATATCTCATTCATGAAACTGAATTCATTGTGAATTGTATTGTTGATACAATCATCTAGAAAATGTCTGATATAAGTTTCTTGGTGGTGACGCACAGACTTCTTAGATGGCTTGGATTGATCACTGATGTATCAGTTTGTCTTGATGCAGGGAGCGGAGAGTTTTTCCTTCAAAGAGATGAAGACAAAGGACAATGGAAATTCCATTTACAGCCTACACAAGAAAAAACTTCAAGAACTGTGCAAGAAGTATGGTTTGTCTCCTCATAAGACAAAACCCGATCTCGTGAATTCCCTGGTCAATTACTTCAAGGTAAATGTTGGCTTTATGTTGATGATAGACAATCTTACTTTTGTGATGAGTGAATGTGGCAATTAGCTGAACATATGATACATGATGATGAGTTCATTATGAATTTGTATAATTGTATTGTGGCAGGATCATCTCCAAATTACTTGATAAGGTTTGTATGTTATTACATCAAGTGCTTAGATGCCCTGCGTTGATCTCTGAAGTACAAGTTTTTCTTGATGCAGATAGCAGATACAGAGACTTCTAAAGGCAAAGGGTACAACATTCTAAATTCTTGTGGTGTGAAGAGCGCAACCGGAGAGATATTGTTTTCAAGATTCATCCCTCATAGTGATGAGAAAGGTTTCAATCAAGGACTTCACAGTTCACAAACAAGTTTTTCCAAGAATGCATTTGCTTCTGATGTTACTTCGATGCATGCACCTTCTTTTGAGTTTTCTGTCTCATCAGAAGATGGAATCAACCTTTATATTGACTTGAATTCATGCCCAACAGACACTTTTAAAAGATTGGAAAAGAAGGTGTGTGTATGTCACAATCTGCAGAATCACAAATTTCAAAGTTTCTGTCAGGAGATTCAATACCTAGGAAATAACAGACAGATGACAAGTTCATTCCTCTGGAGAACAGATTCAGACAATAGATTTAACAGCAGCCATGCACAAACTTTTTCTTCTGCAGGTTTATGTAGTACTGTTGATGTTGTATGTCACACAGAAAATACAAACGCGTCTTTGGGTTTTTCAGCAACGACAAAATCATGTGATGGTTCTGTAAAAACTTTAACACATTCAGAAGGAAAAAAGGGAAGTCCATCTTCATTTAGAACCATTTGTGGTGTACAGAACATGAATATCACTGATGTAAATACTTGTATGGGAGAGGAAGAGATAACATGTGTGGGTCTGAATACCTTTCAAGCTTCAAAGAAATCAATGGCTATTAATAGAACTGTCAATGTTGAGGCTTATAACCCAGAAAACACTACAGAGGTCTTAGATGCTAGGCTATGTAAATCTTTGCATGCATCGTTGGAGAAAGTAGCGATTAGTTCCCCTGCAGATGTGCCAGAGCTAAAACATAATAAAAGTGAAAATCAGAATATGAGGCTAGATGTAAGTTGTCTCAATTCTGAAAGGCAGAGAAATTGTGTACCAGAGAAGCTTATAGTGCTATCTCATATCTCTTCAGAAACTGATTTTACTGAGATAGAGGCTACAAATATTGGCAGTCATCATCAACATTCATCATATTCTTCTTCTGGAAAAGATTGCCTTAGACATTTGAGTGATGCAGCAGAGAGCCTCAAAAGTCTGCCCTATTCTAGTGAGGATACCTGTGGCATTTACCTGGATGACACTCCATCTGCTGCTGGCGGGGTAATATATTCTAAGCATAATCTGGTTCTTTTTGCTATTGTAGCTTATCTAGGTTATTGCTTTGCAAATGTGATTCTATTTAGCTGTCTTTCCTTGTCTATATTTTTAGGTAGTGGGATGACCAACCAGTCTGAAGTATAGTTTCGGCTCTATGAATGATGAAACTTTAACTTTTGAAGATTATGTAAATGATATTCTCATGTTTTATATAGTTTCCTCATTACACGTATGTGTATTGTCAGCATGTTAGAAATCTGAGTGTACCAGCTTTATTCAAGGCTAGTTCTTCTTTATGTTTTTGTGGAGATGTTTCTTAGCTTGTGACATGACATTCATTAGTAGGGTAGTATCCACTTTGATAAGCATATTACTGGTCTGGTAATTATATGATATTAAATATTGGAATAGTTTGTGCATTCTAAGCATCTCTCCTTACTCTATTTGGATACTCCTCCTTTTCCTCCTCCCTCCCCCCTTCCCCAACCCACTCTAGTACAAGTGTCTGTGGGCTCGCATGGGCTACCACTAGTCAAACCATTGCGAAGACTTCTGCTCAGATTAATGAAATACTCAAATCAAGGATCACTGATGACCACCATACTGGTAGATCTATGAGTTCTGGCTGTTTTACCTTCAAGACTGCGCAAGCTTTGAGGCACGCGATCACGAGGATGAACAGCCCAAACATTGATCGTATATCAGTTGTGCAGAACCAGCGGTGGTGGTACTGGTGAGGGACACCATTTGGGTGGTGGAGTGTCTAGAGGTGAGAGACACAAAGGTGAAACGGTGGTGGCCACAGAGGTGGCTGTGACACCGGAGGTGGATATGGTGGCAGCATTTGTGGTTTTTTACAGTGACAGTATATCACACTGCTGTTGCAGCAGTGGTGCTTTGGATGGAAAGGAATAAGATGATTGGGATTTGGGAGTGAATTTGGGTTTATTGGTTTTGATCAAATTTGTATTAGTTCTACTTTGATGTTTGTGTGACTGTTACTTTCGAGCGTTATTGGCTCGATTAAGTGGAAGTTGCATATTTTACAGCTCTTCCATTACTCAGTTTGCTTACGTTTTATATTTATCCTCTTTTTCGTTGCATCTAATAAGAGATGATCACTAAGCACGTAGAAATTTGTTTTCGCGATTGTCTCAGTATAAATATATTTTGCTTCTTTCATGAAAATCTGAAACAAGTTAACATCATGACGTCTTTCATTTTACAGGCAAGGGCCAGCCATGCCGACAGAACAGATACTTCTAAGTAATCTATCTTCCTTAATTAAGATGCTTTGAATTATAGAATCTGATGACACAAGGATGAAAATTTGTTTTCTGGACTTGTACTCTTGCAGAGAGCTTTTGAAGAAGCAGAAGGAGCAATTATCCCATGGAGGGAAAAAGAGAGAGAGGCATGACGGTGAATCCGATAATGTTCATCATTGTAATGATGGGAGAATTTTGAGAAGTGCAACGCGTCTACAAAATCTTCCCAGAAGATCTATTCGGCTTGTCTCTAAGGTTTGCATTTAGTGTTGCTGCTTCAGTGTTTGATCATTAAATTGACTGAACGAATTAGAAAATGGATTAAACCTGGTTCTCGAATTTCAATAAAGAATGGACACCTTATATATACTCTCTCTCCATTTCAATGTGTTTGTCTAGTTTTGATTTTGCATGGAGTTTAAGTCTCTAAGAAAGTACAAGGACTTTTGAATCTTGTGGTCTTAAATTTAAGATATGTAAAATGTACCAAAATGTTCTTTAATCTTGTGGTCTTAAAAAATGCATGTGGAAAGTTATAACTAAAAAGTTGCCAGAAAGGGAAAGTGGCATTCTTTTTGAAACGGAATAAAAAGGGAATTAGGACAAACATATTGAAACGGAGGGAGTCTTATCTAACATTCTTGACTGGATGTTGGACTACTAAAGGGTTGGGATATTAGGCAACCTGGTACTTTACCATTACTATCTGCTGTCACCATTTTTATTATATGGGTTGTAAAAAATGATATCCTCTCACACTGATAAAAAAGGAGATCCACTCACAACTTAGCCATTTCAATATGCCGCACTTAACCATAAAGCAGACTGGAGGAGCAATGAGATAGAGGGTGAATTACATTTACCTTTCTCCTTTTGGTTTGAGGATCAACTTTTATACAGTAGCTAAGTGGGAAAATCCTGTGTCCAACTAGTATAAAAAGAGAGTATTCAACTCAGGAGCTAGATTATTCCCTCAATATTTTACTGTAATTATGAATGTATACAATTTGGTAGGTGTATTACAAACTCCAATCAAATCCTCAAATCAAATTCCCTGATGAAATCAATATCATGTAAATATTTCTTTTGACTACAAAAAAAGGATAAATAGTAATTAAATATTGAACTGTCTTAACAGACAGAATGCTGCAAATGGAAGGATCAGTTCCTATTGTGAAATGATATCCTTGTCTAATCCCATGTATATAACGTCCCTCCAGAGACCTCCACATAGGTCATAGTAATGTGATCGACCATACCTCCTTGGATCTCATATTTGTCTTCGATAATTCTTCTTCACTGGATCATATTGTCCTTGAAAATAATTATATGTGATCAGATGAAATCTTCTAAGAGCACTATGAATTGTCATTACCGTGGTTAGGGTCCATTCTTCCAGCCAAAGTGAGATAAAGGTCTTTGCAACGCCAGGGATATTCGGTCATTTAATTTTCTATGTCAAAACTCTACATCCGTTCCCAAATTAGTCTCTGATTCCTGATCCTCATTGTCATGCCCCTTTTTAACTCCATGAAAGGTTTAATTTTTTTTTGCTTTTTGAAGTGACGCTTGTAAAAGAGATTATTTATAATGGGGGTTACCTCTTAGAATTGAGTTTGGTGTTTCAAATCACCTTTTATTTTAATTTTTAATAAAAAAGGACGGTATGATCCTTAGTTATTGGTCCACCGTTCGTGAAAACAAGAAGATTGGGTAAGGAATTCTGTCGACCCGGGGAAGGTATTAGGCACTCTCTAGTCCTGTGGTTCTAGCATGATCGGTTTATTGACTTATATTTGGTGTAAATTAGTTCATGTTGGATAAAATTGTGTTTATTTGGTTATGCCTATGATTCGATTGATATTGTTTGAACTTTGAACTTTGATTAGTCTTAACTAAGATGTAACCATGACCTTAGCTTCGACATAAACCGGTCAAGGCACATTATCATGACCAAGTCCTGTGTATCACGCCCTAATCTCGAGCCTACTCGCCTTATTAAACCACGATGCTTCTTTTATGTAAGTGTTGGGGTCAAGTCGCGTAACCATGACCTTTCTGTTCCATCGACATGTTCATATCCAATACGTGTAACTGTGACCGTGGTCACTACAATATATTATTCGTGTCGTCGTCTGGCCTATCACTTGATGTATATCATTTATTAGTCTCTCGCAAATCCAAGCTTCTATCTTTGTCCATTTTTGTTCTTTTCATTTAATTTTTGCAACTAGTCTTGAATTAATTCGCGACTTATATCGCTTTCTCATAATTGTTCTTTCCACTCTTTTTCTTTTACTTTGCTAGCCAAACATAAGAAGTTTTAGCCCAACCCCCCAACACCAACAACATCCTCTTAGTGACAATAAGAACCTAGAAAAATTTGAAACCCATTGAGTTAATGAGCAACATCTGGGTCTCCCCAGAATAGTGAAAAGACAACTCTTTTCATGTGAATTCGGTGTTTTCCAAAGAACATGTTGTAAGAGGTGTCTATGTCCAACAATTGGAAGTTAATTTCCAACTCAATGGATCTGATTGTCAGATGGGCTCATTTCACCAATGAGTGAGTGAGAGACAATGTTTTCGGTAAATCCTAAGTTCAAGAAAACCATTTTCAAATTTTTTTTGGGGGGACATACAAAAATAAAAACTATGATGATAATACTATAGAAAGTACCGGCAACAAAAATAGTAAAGATAATCAAAGTAAAAGAAACAATAATAGTAGTATCTCTGGAGAGTAAGATAAAAATATACTAACATAATGATACTGAAAACTTTACCTTGCTCAATTTTTTTAATATATAATGATACTGATGAATAGAAGAGGGAATAACAAGTTAAGAAGTAGGGGTGTCAAGGATCGGACCTAATTTGAATTGGGTTCTATCTCAACCAATTCATGCCTAAACCCATTTTATGAGAATTCGAAATTAAGCCCAATTAATCTCCAATTTCAACCCACTTTAAGACTCTTTATTTGCATTGATGTAATGTATGTTCTTATATTGAATGTATGATTCACTATCTATTTTATATCTATTAGGATTTATCTATCCATTTGTAACTTTTTTTTAAAAAATTTCTTGAGTTCAATTTCAAATTGGGGTATAAAAGTTAAATAAAAAATAGGCATAATACACATATTGTACCCTAAACTTGGGTTCAAATTTTAACTTTGACCTCCAACTTTTATAATGCACAAACAGGCACTTTAACTATTCAACTTTTAAATAAATAAACAAATGAGTCCTACATGGCACAATACACGTAGGACACCACGTAGGACAAAAAATGACATGTAGGATAACATGTAGGACATGTGTCTATTTGTACAACTTTATATAAGTTTAAGTGTCTACTTGTTCACAACCAAAGTTGAAGGGCATAAATGTGATTCGAAGCCAAGTTAAAGGGCAAATTTATGTATTATGCCAAATAATATGTTACAATTATTGAGATTAAGCGGGTCAAATTGGGGAGGCCATGACCCAACCCAATTTTTAGCCCATTTGAACCCAAAATAAACTTGGGTGAGTCAAGACCCAACTCGATTTCTATATCAACCCATTTAAATATCTTCAATTTCAACTCAACCCGCCTATAGTTAGAAGCATGCTCTCACACAGGAAACACATAAATTACCTCGATTACCTACTAATGCTCTACCCTTATCCTTGACCTCTATGCTATCCTATCTAGGGTCACTCTCGGTAAGCTGAAGCCTGAAGATGTTCCATCTCATGTATAATCACTTCTCCCAATTTCTTCCTATGTCTTCCTCTACTCTCTTCTTAGATTTATCACTGCCAAACTTCCGCACCTCTTCATCGGTTATTCGTTTTCGTTACATGCCCAAACCATCTCAGTCTCCCTTCGTGCATTAGTGCATCTTGTCCACTAGTGAGGCCGTTCCGATCTTCTCCCATATATCTTATCCTTCTAGTTCGCCACACATCCTTTTTAGAATCCACATTTCCGCTACGTTCATCTTCTTAACATGTGAATACTTTTTTTTTAAGAAAGGTAACATTAATTCTGTATACCCTACAAAAGTATTACAACTTAAAGTATGTGGTTCAATTTATCTTTACAAAAAGTCTAAAACATCAAAACATCTTATGTTTGAGCTAATAATATTTGCTCACACCAAAAATAAAATAGGCCTATGCAAATCATCTTAAGATTCTGTAAGCTGCTTTGTACATACACAAAACACCTCTTATAACTCTTAGGCGAAACTGACCACCAACTACAAGCCGGGACAATCTTCCATCTCTCCTCCTCCTTACTTACCATGTTTGAAAATGTGTTATCTTGACTACCCAATACTCTGCCCCATCCAATGTTGCTATGACTATTCTATAGAAGTCTCGGTGGCAAAAGTTTGAGGCCAAACTAATTAAATCTAATACGAAGAGCGAGATGGGTTTACAAGTTTATCTGAAATCCCATAAAAAAAGTAAAAAGAAAAAGGGCGAAAAGAACAACTATGAGGGAGTGGGATGAGTCGTGAATTAATTCAAGACTTGTTGCAAAAATCAAAAGAAAAGAGTGAATAGAAATCTCGGATTTGGGAGAGACAAACAAATGATATATTTCAAGTGATAGGCCAGCCTAAGGCACAAATAATATGTCGTCCCGATTGAGGTTGCAGTTTCACGTCTTGGATAATTACCTGTAAATAGAGCGGCAAGATCGTACAACAAGATTGTAGTTGCACGTCTTTGACCCAAGCATTTCAATAAAAGAATCTAGTGTAATCAAGACGAACATTAAACTATCAGTATAACATATAAATTTGTTAATTTAGTGGACTAGTTATGCAAGGATCAACACATGGATCTTTTTTCCAATGAATAATATATAAATTTTTATGCATCATTAATAATACATGAATATATATGTTGTAAATTTATAGTATGGTTGGAATGGACTGGTCGTCTAATCATATGGACTTGGGAAATCCTTTACCTCATGAGCTAGCTTTTGGGGTTGAGTTAGGGTCAGGTGCCATATCTTAAATGGTATCAAAGCCAAGTCCATCCCTGTTTGGGCTGCCCGTCCACGTGCTAGTTGGGCCTAAGCGTGAAGTGGGGTGGGGTGTTAAGTGGGTAAATGTTCCACATTGGTTGGAAAATGGACTGGTGATCTCTTTATATGGACTTGACAAATCCTCCCCCGAGAGCTAGCTTTTGGGGTTGAGTTAGGCCAAGGTGTCATATCTTACTGTACGTATATTTATGCTCGATTAATAGTATGTGGATTGCCATGCAAAATTGTGATGCCAAATTCAAGAATTAAATTTACTCAGTAGTATGCTTTTAAAAGTTCTCTTTAAAACTTTTATACAAATTTTAAAATACTTGCTTATCCATGTATATATATAGAAAAATATTTTTTAATTTGATTTTTTGTGCAGCGACTGGCGGAATGTAATTCCTAAGTGTTAAAGAGATCTGCCTATGTAAAGATTAAGCTCAGTACTGGTTTACAACATACATGTTCTTGTAAGTACAAATCCTGAAATTCATCTTCGAGTAGTTCACTAGGTGAATACATTATGTTTTTTGAATCCTTCATCTTAATGTTGTTTGTTTCCATTTGTTAAGTTTATCGTTTATTGAGCAAACATGTTAATTCTGCTATAACTTTCTCAAAAGCTTTTCTTGAACGTGAGTGCCTAAGAATGGACACATGTCATACACTTCAATTTGAGTAAATTTCAGCTGCAGCAGTTTTAAGAATGTAGATTCAAGAGTTAGTCTAATAAACTCAAGAAGTTCACTGAAGGTTTTTAGTTTTATGCTGTCTGCTTTGTAAATTTCGTGAAATCAATTAATGTGACACTCAAAATCTATTTTGATTGACCGTTTTGTTTTAGCACGCATCATGCTTAGTTCGAACTCTTAAAATCATGTATGTGGAGTCCTTAAGGCTTAATCTCACTTTCCTAACTGGTTTTAACTTGCTGCAGGAGGTTCCTTTATTCTGTATTCAACAACATACTCACTGTAATCCCACAAGTGGGGACTGGGGAAGGTAGGATGTACGCAAACCTTATCTCTATTCTGTATGCAAGAAGAAAAATTTATTTTGAGGTCAGGTCAAGTTGTTTAACGTTATCTATTTTTCATTCTGCTAAATGACATTTTTATTTTGCCCATCTTTTCTTTGTTATGCCTTTTTTTAAAACTTTGCACACTTTGTTGTTTGTTCTAAACCAGTTTGTGTCACTCAATCGGAACTCTGCGGCTTCAAATTAAGAGAGGAATGGACACCTCCAGTTTCCCCGAATGTAGTTATAGTTTATAGAAATAATTTATCGATCTTTATCCTTTGTCACAGCTTTTCTCCAATTGTCCACCCTATGCTAGTTACACTAAATGCTCTTCTTCCTCAAATCATGAGGCGAGGATTACAAGGTTGGTCTTATCCCCCCTGCCCGCGACGTGGGGAATGAGGGAGCTTGTCTTTCTTACTGCTTTTTGTGATTGGATATTAGTTTTCTTTAAAAGTAATATAGAAAGAGTTAATGGTTATTTAATCAACCAAAGAAGAATTGTGAAAGGTCAGTAACAGTAATGGTGAAAAATTCAAGGTGATGGAGTAAGGAGAAGAAAGAGGGTCCATTGAAGATTTGAAGTTTACTGGAGGATATAATACTGAAGGATCCATTCAATCTAAGAGTTTCTGGTTGTCATTCTGTACCCCAAATCATAATAGTAGAAAGTGAAGCATGCTTCTAAGAAACTAGAAATATTTCAAACACACAAAGAATTATCACAATGAGAGAATGGAATAGAAGCAAGATAGAGCTTCTAATGTGTTCTTGGGATTTTAATAGATAGATATCAAAACAAAGTAGAAATGAGAAGAAAGTAGTTGGATTTCCTTCATTAACTTGCAAATAAGAAGTAGAAATTTTTAAATCTCTCTTCACATCACTTGTTAAACAGAATAGAGGATAAGAGATACATTATAAACCTTTAGATCTCTAGAGGACATGTAGTATCAATCAGAACTTTTATTAAACATTACTGTAGGATAAAAGACTGGAGGTAATTTTATCCCGCACAAAATGTGTACACAGAAATTTATAACATGAAAATGAGGGACTAGTACTTTTCTATCCAGATTCTTTAGGGGAGGAGCCAAAGAACATGAAATAAAGAATTAGAAAATATGACAAACTATTTACAAGTCGTAAACCTACGAAAAGAGCAGGAGAACTCCTTTTTATCTGTGTTGTTTTTTTCTATTCAAATAAACATAACAGTGCAGAAAATGAGTGTTTTTTTCTCTCTATTTTTCGTTTTCTGATTTTGGATCTAGTATTCCAAGTTCACTTGATTGACTAATTAACATTAGCATCAAGTTGGCTTATTAAGGTGGTAAAGGCTCCATCCCATAAACTTCTCTAAGAACTGTCCTCAGACCTTTGTTCAAAGGGTACGAGATTCCAACCTCCAAGGTCTTGTTGATTTCCTTGTTAACTCAATGCTGCAAATCCACCACTTTTCATCATCTGCTTAAACTCTATAAAATTCACCATTCCATCTCCATCAGCATCCACTTTCTTAATCATCCGCTTGCAGTCATCAACGGTCCGCCCTTGCTTGAGACCAAGTGATGCCAAGACAGATTTTAATTCATCCACCGTAATGTATCCGTCCCCATTTTGGTCGAACACATTAAAGGCCTCTCTGATGTCTTCCTCCTCATCTCGCTCTTCCATTATGGTCTCATATAGAGCACCAAATTCATCAATATCGATGTAGCCATCACCATTCACGTCAATCTTGTTGATCATCTGCGCCAGATCCGAATCAGACATGAAGATCCCCATGTTCTCTAACGAGTCATTCAGCTCCTTTTTCGTTATCCTTCCATCACCGTTCCTGTCGAACATATGAAAGACACGCTTGAGCTCATCTGTCTCCATTATTCTGTGGTTAAACAACGATATAGTTATTGATTTTCACGCCACTGATTGTAACTTTTGGGAGAAGATTAAATGGCCTGAACTTTTTGGACACAAAGGAGAGAAGAATTGTGTCAAAGAGGTGTCTTAGACAGAAAATTCTCAACAAAATGGTTGGTAGTGGCATTCTGTTGTGTGTGCAACACTTATTATTGTGTGGTGATTTTGGCTTCTTGGTTGAGAAAATTTTGGAGAGGAGCTTGTTAATTTTTTATTTATTTATTAGTATTATCATAATATTCATTTTTTTCCCTTGACCCACCTTTTGACATATGTCGCCTCCCGGTTTGATTTGAGCAGTCAATCAGAATTGAGATAAATATGTTTTTGACTTGTTCTGTATTTTACCAGTAAAAAGTATTTGTTCCTTTGTATTACATTTGAATGAAGGAAACTTGCATTCAGAAAATAGATTGACTTAGAGAAATAAATTTGAAGAATTCTTGATTTTTCTCAAGTATGTCCATGTCTTCCTCTACCAACCCAAGCCATACTTCTATTCCCTTCCCATCACTAGTGTCCATTAAAACAACCAAATTGGGAGCTACGCTTCCCACAGATGCCATTTTGGCCTACCCCATCTAAAATCAATATCATAGAAAGGAAACTTGCATAAACTAGTGGAGCCAAGTATTCACTCTTCTTTGTTCATTGTTCTTACTCTATCATCCATATTCTTTACATCATAGCTATGTTTAGTCACATTCTTTATTGAATCTTAAATTTTTTTCACTAGTAACTTATAGTCTAATGGCCCCTCAGAAACTTCCCAATTTGCCTCAACCATATGAATGATAATTCCCATGGTTTGTTGAGGTAATGGAGGTTGAGTTCTTCTCCTTAAGTCTATTGGAATTCAAATTACATAATTCTTGATACTATTATTATTGTTCCTTTTCTGCATAGCTGCAATAACTGCTTCCCATACAAAGGCTAGCACAACCTCTACTCGAGAAGTTGAATGTTCTGCATTCATATTCAGAGCCAAAATATTGGACTCATTGAATACGAATCTTCTCGCTGCCATTTTTGGTTGAAGTTGATCTTTTTCCCCAAATTGGAACATTGAAAAACTATGTGTTTTATCGAAAAATATTATCGAAAAGAGTTCGTTTTGTTTTTTTTCTTTTTTTTAAAGATATTTTCGACTTTTAGGAGTCGCCACTTAATTTTTTAAGGAAAATTAAGAAAACTTATTTTTCAAACAACTTAAACAGGAAAATTGTTTTGAAAAACATTTTAAGGGTTCGGGATTCCTATTAGCGTCTTAGGAAGGTGTTGAAAGCACCTAAGACGCTCCGCTAACTACAGTTTTTCGGCGATTATTTTATAGATTTTTGCGAATTTTAAAGTTAGATTTCTTAAATCTATTCGAACTTGCAAATTTAAAATATTATTGTTTTACGATTCGATTTTAGTTTTAAGTTTGATAAAATAAGAGGCGTTCGATGGGGTTTGGAGTTTTTCTAACCCTAACTAACAACATTTAAGCAAAACACATAAACAAATAGTAAAGTGGGAGAGAGAGAGAGATTTTTGGGTCTGAATTCGGGTTCTGTTCGCCTTGACCGAATTTTGGACCCACCTGCTTTTGAGTTTTTGATCCATTTCCTGTCCTAGTCTAAGCATACAAAGAAATATGAGAAAGTAAAAACTACAAGGGGGCTTATGCCCTTACAAATAAAAATACAAAAATAAAAATGAAGAAACTCTTTAATCCATTTCTTCAAGCTCTTCAATCTTCATAGCCTTTGACTTTTTACGTTTGCCTCGACTCGATAAAGGAATTAAGCCTTTAGCTCTTCCAAATGCATAGAAGAAAACGAAGTCCTAAAATGGACTCGGGAGGCAATTTCACATGTTATTAAACAAAATGGAGTTAAGAAAGGAACGTGAAATCTTAACACAAAATAAAAATAAAAATAATAAAAAAAACAAAGCATCATTAACATAACATAAAATGACAATACACTAATTGACATCAACCACAATGTTAGGTGTTGTAATATAATTTAAACAGAACACTATCACTCCCACATGTGACTAAATCACTCACCAAATCAGTGTAACAAAATGACAACATAAAAGGATGACAACATCACAACATGCAAATCTTTTAGTTTCTTGACAAACACAAAACCCCTGATGATAGTAAAATGCAAATCATGATTTTTAGGGACTTAAGAAGATGGAAGACAGATTATGAGATACTAAAATGAAATGGAGGGTTTGCACATGCACAAACCCACAAAATAACATTAATAAGGTAATACATGAATGACATGAATGAGCAGGGGGTCTCGACATTTACAATTTCATTAACCCAAGTAAACTCTGAGACATATTGGCATTACAGAGGGTCAACATAAATCCAGAGCTAAGGAATATAACTAAATTTCCAGTAAGGTTATGAACACAAGATAAGCATGCTATCGGAAATCTAAAATGGCCAATCAACTTGATCTATATGGGCAAAATCCTATCATGTTCGAACCGAGATGTTGGCAAATAACTCACACATAAAGTCACAAATGCCAAACTACTATGATCTAAACGAAACTAACGGAGATACGGGCATAATAGGCAGCCAACGAAACAGAACAAGAGCAAAGCAAAAAAAAAACAAAAAAAACCAAAGGCAAAGAGGTTTTACTGCTGATATACATATATATATATATATATGCATCAAAACACAATAGAAATAAATTATAAAGAAAACAGAATAACAATCAATGAACAGAGTTCCTCGTGCGCGCACAAACTTGAAATCGAAAACAGGATACAAATATAGGATAGATTTTACCTTTCGAGAGCAGCAAATTGGCACGGGACGAGTGGGTGCGAACTGTTCCACCACACGAACACGAACAGAGCTTGACCTTAGGCGGGATATCACTCCGAGGCTGGATTCGAGAGGCAACTCGACAGCAATCCAAACAACGAGACAAAAATAGGAAAAGAAAATGGAAAAGCAGGCGGAGTTCACTGTCGTCTGTGAATTTCTTTAAAACAAATGGAGAAGGAAACATAATACTCTCTCAAAATTTGTCTCGGCCCTTCGTGATAGAACTCTCCCAAAAAATTCCAACCAAAATCTAACCACGAAAAATCTAAACCCCACTGTTTTCATACAGCGAACAGAAAAGAATTAGAATATTCTCGATAATAATTTTTGTACTCCTCCAACCCCCCTTCTGAAGAGGGAGGGGGGTTTATATAGACGAAGAAAACTTAGGGTTTTCGAGGGGAAGGGCTTGCAGAAACCCTCAGGCCCATTCCGAATGCAAATCCCCAAACCCTATCCGCATCTGAAGGAATATCCCGTTTTGGTGCCGAATTCCCAACGGATGGGAGGTGAGGTGGAGGGTCGAGATGAGTTCGTGGTACTGGCGAGCTTCGTGGCGCAATCTCGGCATGGCAAGGACGAAAAACGTGTCTGCAAAGCTGAACAATCCAGCCTGCCCTGCTGCGAGGCATACTGGCGAGGGAGAGAGGAGTGAACGCGTGAGGAGACGCGGGGAGAGGGGGTCTGTGCGTGAGGGAGACGCGAGTTTCGCGTCTGTTTCTCCGAGAATTTGTAGTGTTTGGGGGGGGGGGGGCACAGGTTTTTGGGAATTAATTTGTTGTCTTTTCTGAAAAGGGCGTGGTGAGAGGAGGAAGAAGGAAGAGGAGAGGGGTCTGGGTCAGGTCGGACGGGTAAAGGGGGACGGGGCGGGTTAGATTTTAAGTTAGCGGGTCGCCTGGGAATATTGAATGGGCTGGGAATTGAGATGAGTGTTGGGCCTGGGGTTAATTTGTGGGTGGGCCGTCTGATGTTTTAGGATAGAAGAGGGGATTTTTAGGATGGGAGAAAAAATAAATTGGGTTGGATCAAACTATTTGGCCGGGAAGAGGGAGTGGGCCTGGGACTTGGATTGATAATTAAAGGGAAAAGGGTGGAGTGGGCCTACGAATTGGGCTGGTAAGTTGGAAGAAGACCCAAATTTGGTTCTAAGGGAAGAGAGTTAAGTTTAATAAATAGTCAATTGATTTAAAGTAAAACGAATTTGGTATAAATTTATTAACGAGCTTATTTATTTAGTAATATAATTATTTAAACTATAAGATAGTTGATTCAAAATAATCATAGTTTAAACTAAATTATTTAAATAGAATACTTACTATAATTTAAAATATTTTGAGAAATAATCGTAAAATATAGCAATTGTATACGTGATCATGTAAAATATATAGGCTATCTAAAAATTATAAGAAAAAAAATGACAAAAGTACTCAAAATAATATAAAATTCATATGTTATTATTTTTCATTCGCGAAATTTATACGACTAATTAATTTTAATTATTTGGAAAATTTAGGAAGCTCGATAATTAATTTATACCGACACGGGTCAAAAATTGGGTGTCAACAACTGTCTCTCATTTTACTTGGGTTGATGCAAGCAACTCGAGGAAAATGAAATTGACCAAACCAATTTTGACCAACCCCATTCATTTTTTAAAAAGGAAGGATTCGACAAGGGTTTAGGAATTATTGGCGAACCCTTGCAAACGGGTCTCCTACATATCTCAGGCTATATGAGAATTCAGGCCACTTGTTGTTCAATAAGCTTGATTTACCGCATGATTTTAAAAGAATCAAAAGCCATCTTGATACTGAATTATGAAGGTATCGAAATGCTCGAGAATAGAATTCGAGAGCGAATATTGGAATACAACCGAATTTTCAACGTCGAATCCGCCTATATATCCCTAAACTTTCGGAATCAGGCTGTGTTTAGTTCGACTCAATCGGTGGAAAAGGAAACCTATTATGCTAGATAACCTTCAATTTTGGACAAGTGACAAGTTAACGAGTATGAAAAAGAGGCTTGTAACCTCTTAGCCATGAATGTAGCGCGCTTCACACCCATAATTAAGAGCTTACACGGACATAATTTCCAAAGCTCTTGACGCATTGTCACTCAGATTGGAAACTTGCCTCCGATAAAACTAAACTTCCGGATGTGAGACAGAAACTGACAGAACTAAGGAAAAACCCGTATGCTTCGAGAGGGGTGGTTTGATGGTGGTGGAAGTCGCTCATCTGCTCGTGTCCTCAGAGTCTGATATTCCTCTTTGGACTGTGTCCCAGTTCGTTGCTAAGAAAAAGTTTCACGTTGTGCTGCATCCCCTTTGATGTTGTCCGCACCTGTGGTTTTTGGAGAATTCATCCTTTAGGATGCTCTCGAGAAAGACTGAGATAAAACTCGTTAGCTTGAAAATGCAATTAGGATGGGAGACGGTGTCTTTTACCATGTCGACACTTCATTGTTCTCCTCAATATTCGAAGTCGACTCGATCGGTCTGACGTCCAACAAATACAACTTATGCCTTGCGTTTTGCAATATAATTTCAATGTATTCTATACTTGATGTCGAAATAAATAAATAAATGTTGATGCAACATTGATGTCTCTTTTGTTGTCATCTTCGATGCTCTTCTTGATGTTTATTTTTATCGAAAATAAAAGATGCAGTTGAGGCAGGCGGATAAATGTTGTTCTTGGGATACACACTTTCCCCTTTTTTATCCCTGTATGTCTTCTTGCGGGGCATGAATATCCCCCGATACGTAAATTCTCGCGAGGTATGAAATCTTCTCGCAACATGCAAATTTCAACGAGGCATGGATTCTTCTCGTGATGCATAAATCTCGGTGAGGTATAAATTCTTCTCGTGATGTGTAAATTTCAGTGAGGTATGAAATCTTCTCGTCGTGCATAATTGTTGATTCGCAATGCATGACTTTTCCGCGATGCATGATTTTCGACGAGGCATGGATACCTCTCGTGATGCACATATTCCAGCGAGGTATAAATTCTTCTCGTGATGTGTAAATTTCAGTGAGGTATGAAATCTTCTCGCGATATTTAAATTTTGACGAGGCATGAAATCATCTCGTCGCACATAATTGTTAACTCACAATGCATGATTTTCGCAATGCATGACTTTCCGCGATGCATGATTTTCACTATGCATGATTCTTCAGTGTACGACTCTCGCGATGCATGATTTCCGCGATGCATGATTTTTTCGTGTATGACTCCC